CCCCCCCCACACACATATGTACACACATGCTCACATCACTATGCACACATCCAGGCATGCAGCTTTACACACACACACACCTCTATACATGCACACCCACAGGACGGAGAGACATGCCAAAACTTCACAGACACATTTCTTGCACAAATACCAACTGCCTGCCTTTCCGTGCCCCCTCAGTACACAGGTCTCCCCAAAAGAAAACAAGTGTGATCCCCTGTGCAGGAGCACACCCGTCTGTGCGTGGCAGGCACAGCTGCCGGGGGCCAGGCAATGTGCGCCTGCCTGCAGACGGCGTCATGAGAGTGTGTGTTGCACACGGGTTTACTGATGCACTTTGCAGGTAAAATCCAGAGCAAATCCCAACCAGGAACCCATGGGGCCCAGCAAGGAGCCTGGTCTCCAGACCGCAATGGAGGGGCAGTCCCTGGCACGGGCAGCCCTAGGAAGGGTTCGGAGGAAGCCTGTGGCTCAGGCCTCACGGCCTTTACCTGGCCCCCTTTTCACACGACCCCTGCGCTGTGCACGGCTCCATGGAGCCCCCAAGCGCAGCGTCTCAGCATGGCCAAGCCCGGGGACAGGGGCGGGTTTGGGGCCATTCTCCGGGTCTCTTTGTGGAGCCAACCCCAACCCTCCTCTCTTCCCAACTCGAGCAGCAGGAGGTTCCCGGGGGAGCAAAGAGGGGCTCTGAGCCCTGGGTCCAAGCACAAGAGGACGGGCAAGGAAAGAAGGGGCCTGGGAGCCATGCCCATGCGGCAAGACCCCCCACCCCACCGCACGCGGCCATTGCTGCCAGCCTGCAGCTTGCACACTGAGATCCCGAGAGTCTCTCCAGATGGGCAGAGCCCCAGTTGAGGATCCCACTGTGAAACGAAGCCCCCCCAGGCCTCTCAATTCCCTGCGCGGCGGCTCCATTCGGGGCACCCTCCAGCGCGCCCCTACGGTGATGGGGAGGTAGGGGCAGCTCCTGGGCGATGCCAGTGGGTACCAGGCTTTGCTGCAGGGCCCTCAGGATGGGGCGGCAAGCCCAGGCCCCGCTCAGCCCCCCTGTGCCCTGCCTCCGGCCTGCATCCGGCCTGCAGCTCAGCGCGGGGCTGGGCACGGGCACCGGTGCAGCCTGCAGTAGCACCACAGCCGTGAGAGCCCCCTCCGCAAGCACTGGGCCCTGGCCTTGACCAAATGCAGGCGGGTCCCCAGCCCCTTGCACTCCTCCCAGTCCGACTCTTGGAAAATGGACAAGGAAACAAAGCCAATGCTGCCCCCTCCCTCCCTGAGAGGAAGCAGGACCCCTGGCCGGGAGAGGGGTCAGGACCCCCTGGATGCATGCCCGGAGCTGCGAGCCCGGATGGGAGACGGGGTCTCCACTGCAGTGCACAGGCTCGGGGAGGAAATGCTTCCCCGGGGCCTCCCAGCACCGGTCCAGGGACCGGCCCTGAGGCAGGGAGACCCGCTGGGAAGTTGGGGACCTTGGCGAGCAGGGCAGGGGGTGAGCCGGAGCCCCCGGGCACAGCTGCAGCGCCAGCTGCCTGCCGCTCCACCCCACGCAGGGCACACGCACATCCGTGCTCGGTGTGTGCACACGCACGCGGACATGCATTGCTGCACATGTATGACGGACCTGTCTCTCGCACGCATGGCTTTCCCCCGCTTCATCACCCGTGCCAGCCGGATTTTAAAAGTTGCGAGCAAACGATCCCCCTTGTTCCTGCCCAGCGGGAGCAGCTTAACGACGCTGCCTGCCGCACCATGCCGGCAGCCAGCAGCGCAGCCCCTCTCCTGCCCGGCGCCCAGCCGCGCCAACCTGCGCCGAGACACGAGAGCCGTGCCAGCCTGCCACACGGGCTGGGCAGGGAGAGGTCAAGCCCTGACTTTTGGCGTGGAGGGCACCGGCCAGAGAGCACGTGCCAAGTTCAAAGCAAAAGAGGGGCGCTTACCTGTTGGAGGTAGAGGAAGGCCGGCGGGCAGGGCAGGGAGGGAGGAAGCATGCCTGAATTGGAGACGAGGAGACAGCCCGAGTTCGCCATGGAGCACAGCATGTGGCGGCAGGTCGCCTTGGAGCTGCTTGCCGGCCGTTTCGTCCTCTTCCCGACACTCTGCCGATGCTCGTCCTTCCTTCCTTCCCTCCTCCTCTCCGCCGCGGTCCCTCCTCTCGGGTCCCCTTGCGGTGCCGCTCAGGAGGGAGGCATCTGCGGCGCGCCGGCCGTGCTCCCTGCGCGGACGATGGAGGAACAATGCTCGCCTCTACTTTGGTGCCATTAGACGCTGGCACCAAATGAATGGTCTGCAAAGGGTGTGTGTGAGCGGAGAGGGGGAGGAGGCAGAGGCGGAGGATGAAGGGTGGGAGGGGGCGTCCCCTGTGCATTCAGGCATCAACCGGAGCTCGGGATAAAATGAAGAGAATCCATAATGACACGAGAACAGCTGATCCCGCACTTAACCCCTGCGCGGCCGCAGCGCGCTGGCAGCCGGCTCTGCCCAGCCGCCGCGCGGAGACGGGCATGCGGCTGCGCTGGGCTGATGCCTGGCTGGGAAGCAGCGGGCTTTGCAGGCGGGCAGGGAAGGAGAGCTCTTGCTGGGAGTTTCAGCGATGCAACACAGGCACGCGCACCAGGGAAAGGCTGCTGCCGCGTGGAGCAGGGGCCTTCGCACCCGCCACGCGGTCCTGGGCCCTGGGCTGGGGCCGTGCCGACGGGGGCTCCCCCAATGGGCACGGCATCGCACCCCACCAAGGCACGCATGCAGGAACGCAGCCTGGCGGGCCGGCCTGCGCAGACCCGCTCTGCCCCAGAGAGGCACGCTCACCTGCTCGCAGGCGCACCAGGCAGACTGCCACACGTTGCACACGGGCTGTGCCCCCGCAGACACGCATGCACAGCCAGGGACGCCAGCCACCTGCTCTTTGGCACGGTCTGCGGTGACCGCATCACGCCCACGGGCTGCATGGCTTGTTCCAAGCAAGCGGAGAGAAATCTCAGCTCCCCAGGCAGCGCCTGTGCCCAGCAGCCCTGGAGGCAACACTGCTGCCCCGTGGCTGCCCGGCGACCTTCGCCAGCAGGGCAGGGCCCCGAGGAGCTCAGTGCTGCAATGCAACACGGCGAGGGCCCCCACACTGCTCCCCAAGGCCAGTGCCCCTCCGCCAAGGGCGTCCTGGCACGCGGCGGAGCTGAAACCGCCCGACGCTGCCTCCCACCCGCCCTCGCCGTGGTACGACACGCGGCCGGCCCGTGATCCAACGCAACCACCAGCCGCAGCAAAAGCAGACGGGGCCTTTGGCTTTCACCTCGGCAGGGCTCCCATTCCCCCTGGCCTGGGTTCAGACATGCAGAGTTTGGATCCTGGACTGCCGCTGTCAGAGCAGATGGTCCCAAACCAATCACGCGTGTATGGCTGTCCCGGCTAGCGCGGTGACACCCGTGTGCTTGTGTGCATGTGCATGCAGGAGAGACGGACGCTTCGGGCCCTACACAGCTCATCCCCTCCTTGCCTGGCCCTTGCGTCTTCTGCAGCCACTGCCATTATTTGAAGCCCAGACAAGGCTGGACCCGGAGCTCGCGCAGCCCCTCACATTGGGGGGTCCCCTGCAGCGGGCCCAGGAGGGGGTCTCTGCCTGGGCAGCCCTGGCACAGAGATCCTGTCACCGGCGTTGCTGGTGAAGGGTTGTGGTGCCGGCAGAGCTCAGTGTCAGGACTGTGGGCAGCTGCTGAGGTGCCCAAACGGGGCAGGAAACCCAACCCCAGGCTCCATTCAGGTGCCATCAGGGCCAAGGGCAGGGCTGTGCCAGCTGCTGCAGGCTCCGTGTGTCCCCGGGAGCCCCCAGCCTGCAAGCAGCCCCATGCTGAGCATCCCCAGATGCAGCCGTGCTGCAGTGTCCCGGTGCGTCCGCGCTGGTTCTGGTTTGCTGCAGATACACGGCAGCAACGCGTGGATCCACCGCCGGCCCCAGGCAGCAGAACCTGCCTCCCGGGACTGGCGGGGGCTAAGCAGCGCCAATGAAAGCATGTCCCGAGCACGTCTGTGGGCGCTGGGCACAGGGAAGTGGTTGCATTTCGTGTGGGGGGTTTGCAGACAGGGGATGAGCACTCAGAGCAATGGCACAGGCAGATTGCCCTTGCAATGGCAAAAGCACCCCCTGCCCTCACTCAACCAGGCAGCCCCCAGCCCCCAGAGCACGGATCTGCTGGGCTCTGCCTCCCTCCCCTCCAGGCTGGACAACCACCGCTCTCCTGAGCTCAGGCTGGACCACGCCAGGAGCCCAACACTAACCTGCCCTGCAGAGAGCCAAGGGCCCCAGCACTGCCCCTCCGGCCCCGCGGGCCAAACGCCCCCAGCTCAGCTCCTGCAAGCTCCCCAGGGTGCCCTGCGCGTGTCTGGCCCAGCCCCTGCCGCAGGGCAGCGGGAAGCCCTGGCCTCCAGTGCACGCACCCTGCCTCCGGCCTGGGCTACCGGGAGCCTGGCAGGAAGGGACGTGCAAGTGGGGGCACTCAGACAGCCCCAGGCTCAGCCTGCAGCAGGGACAAGAACGAAGGCTGCTGGGGAGGGGGTCTGGAGAGCTGCCCGCCTGGACCCCGCGCGGGGCGTGCAGAAGGGAAGCCCTCAGGATGCTCCAGCCCCAACCCTCTCGCCGGCCCTGGGCACTGGGGCTTTCTGGTGGGGCCACGGGGCTCTGAGCACCAAGCCTGGTGCTTCCTGCCCATGCCGTGCGGTGGTGCGATGCATGGCCAGGCCGCATGCACAAGGAGACACAGACTGGCACACGTGGCCCCGAGTGCCCGGGATGGCAGTGACTCCAGGATGCTCTTTCCTGGTGCAACAAGCCTCTCCTGCAGGGTCTCGTGGTGGCAGCGCAGGAGTCCAGGTCAGAAAGACCAAGGAGGTTGGGGTCCCCCTAAGTGGCAGGGTCTGGCATGCATGTGTGGGCATGCCTCACTCGCAGGTCCCCACCCCTGTTCTGGCACAATGCCCCCGGAAGTGGGGAGCCAGGCAGGCTCTTGCCCCCCATCCCTGCAGGCACCTGGACCCAGCCCCTCGCAGGGGTCCCCGCTGCAGGATGGAGCCGGCCAGTCCCCTCTGGACGCTGAATCAGAAACCAAGTGACCGCCACAGCTGCCTTCTTGCCACCAGCTCTCGCCCTATGCTGCCAGTGCCCCCACCAGCCACAGCAAAAGGACACGGGGCCTTTGGCATTCACCGTGGCTGTGTTTGGCGTCCCCCACCTCTGCATTATGGCCGGATCTGCTCGGAGCGCGCTGAGCTCCTTCAGGAGCTCCTACAATTACCCTCCAACCCCAAACTGCAGTCACTCAAATCAGCAAAGCCAGGCCATTTGGCCCGGCTGCAGCATTAGGGCAAGCCTGTCCAGGCTGCCCCCCAAACAGCAACAGGCCACCTCCGTCCCATCCTCACCGAGGCACCAGGCCTCGCAACGGGCCCAGTGCTTGCTGTGCCCCCACAGCTGCATCATCGCCGGAGCCCATGACAGGGGGTGAAACATCCGAGGGTTGTTCACGTGCAACCCTGCCACCGCCAACATACGCCGTCACCTGCTCGCACACACAGTGCACAGACGGGGCGATTTCTACGTGTAAGAACGAATGGACGCTGCCCTGACATGCAGGACATGGCCACGATGCTCCGTCGCCAACCCTGGCATTGCTGTTCGCAGAAGCAACATCTTGGAAACGGTTTGAACAGGGACAAGCGGTGCCCCGGGTGAAGTCCGGCTCCCGCAGGGACTTTCTTATCCCGTTACCTGGCTCAGCCCTTGTTCCTGCGGGCTCCTGGCTTGTCAGCACCGGCTCCCTCCCTTCCCACCTTGGGCATGGAAGCCACTTGCTCCATTTCACATACTGCCCCATGCTTGTCCTTTCACAGCCCTTCATGAAGTGAGCTCCAGCGTGCAAATGCTTGTGCTCTCCATATACCTTACTGAGTCAGCCCAGAAGGTGCAGATCCCCCTGTAGAGTCCCCTCCGGCTCAGGGCTGCTCCCACTTCTCCGCCAGCCCTGCCCGGGGCCCGGGGCCATGGGGACGCAGGGAGCGCGCGGGGCCGACCGGGGCTGCGCTGGCTGTGGCTGCCAGGCCGCAGGCTTCCAGCAGGGGGTGCGAGCAGGCCCGCGAGCTCAGTGGAGACGCAGCATCCTCAAGCCCACACCCTGCAGGCCAGAGCCTCCAAAGCCCTTGGGTCGGCTCCCCAGAGCTCCCCAGGGCTCTGCCCACCCCAGGAGCCTGTGCTGCAGCCCAGCAGAGCCCCAGGACCAGCACCGTCTCCCTGGGAGGGAAGTTTATTTATCTGTTTAATTAAGACGTGTTCACCAGGCGCACGGAGCCCGCCCCATCTGTCTCACTTACAGCCGCGTCCCAGTAAAATTAAAGCTAATAAATATCTGAGGAAGGGAAGCAAAGGGCATGGGCATGGGGAAGCAGGAGCTGCGCAGGGCTGCGGCGCTCTGTACGGCTGGGCCGGCGCAGCGTGGCCCCCCCGCTTCCACGTATCAGCACTCCTGTTCCCCGGGTTTACTGGCTCCAAAAGCACCCTGGAGGCCCCTGTGCTCTGTCTGCTGCAGCAGGGAGCTCGGCGCTGCACGGGGAGGAAGGAGCTGCTCTGGCTGCCAGCCCCCACCCTGGCAGCGCAGCCCCGTGGGGCCTTGCTGGCGCAGGAGACGTAATGTCTCCACCGGGCACTATGGGAGGCACCGGCCCGGCTCCTTGCTGCAGCAGGCATTTGCAAGTCAGGCCTGAGGCAAGAGCTTCAGCAGGAGGACGCCAAGCCAGGGATTCATCTGGGGTCTTTCCCATCCTCTGCTACTTGCACCTGGCATGGCCTTGGTCAAGTCACTCAGCCTCCACTTCCCTCCAGGGCCAGCCCTGCTTGCTGCCCGGGGTGCACATCTGAGGGTGCCAGGTGCACCAAGCGGGGTGGCTCGCATGGAGTCACAGGCTCCAGATGCTGCCTGCAAAGGGGTGCGTGCCCTGGCATGGCTGCAGTCAGCCTCGGTCTGCTCCGCCTGCCCCCGTGGCATGCTCTGGGTCATGGTGCCAGTCCCCAGAGGGGGATCCTGGTGGGAGCACTGGTCAAGCCATGTGCAGACCCGGGGCGATGGGTCCAGACAATGGGGCACAGGCCCTGCGAGACTGTCCCCGTGGGCATCACGCAGAGTGACAGGGAAGGCACGGCAGGCCGGGAGCAGACCCCGCGGCCACCAGGATGCAGCGCAGGTGTCTCTTCCTCCCCTCCACCCACTCCAGAGTGCCCCGAAGCCAAGGCTTTCATTAATTAAAAGCTCATTAGGAGCTGAATGTAGATGTAAAGAACTGAGACAAGGGCTGACGACAGCTCCAAGCTGCTTTGGGACAAGGCAGCACCAACGGTGCTCTGCCGGGGAGAGGAAGCCTGAGTGTT